TTCGGTATGGATTCTTATACCGTTGTCAAGCAAGAGTGTAATTATTGTATACCAGATATGTAACTGTAACTGAAAGTGAATAAGTTGTGTTACACATTTTACAGTTTTAAATTAAATTAAAGGTCACAAAAAAAATAATATTTTATGTTACTATATTGCTGGGAATGTTTCCTTAGAGGGTTGATAAAACTAAGAAATACCCAATGATTTTTCATTCATGGGAAATGTTAGGTTTTGTATGCTTTTCTCAGTTGAGTTGGTCATTTCAATTTGAATAAGATCACATATATAATTAGGTGTTACATTCAGTGTTTAAACATAATTGTATCTATTTAAAATATGTATGTACCGTTTTACCTATGCTTCGATTTCAATTCATGATTTGGTAGTAGATGTTACCTTGAATATGAGTACAGTAACAGTAATAAATATTACAACAATTTGCTTCAGAATACTGGGTTGGCTACTATTTTCTGGTACCAATCAATAAAATAAGTGACATGTCAAATGGAAGATACAATATACATGTATACTACATATCTTTCCTTTGTGATTGTGAAAAAATATTTTGGTTACATATACAAATTAGTCGTTCTAATTATATAATTTCATTGTGATCAGATGTACCACTGTGCATGTTTATGAATATGTATAAATGTGTTACTTTGGCTGTTTTGCAGTTTTACTAAGCATTGTATGTATTGTATTTGCAGGATGATGAAGAGTCTGTGTGGGATGATAAGGATGGCAACGATGTTGTGCCAGACATCAACCAGGACTCTTCATATTCACCCACAAATCTTAAGTAGAGCATACACCATCTGTTTGCGGTTGTGGACTGGTTCAAGCCTTGTTGTAATCAACTTGGTTATATTTCCCCTTTCTCTGTGTGGCAAAACTCAGGCTCAACTCAAGGCTCTGCGTCATATGTACCACATCAGAGGATTGTTGGTTGCTCAGTGTGAGTGCAACAGAAGCTTCATGGTTGTAAGCAAGTTGCCAAGTCTTTACTATGTGAGATTGTTAGTGTGTATATGTTAAGATACATTGAGACAGCTTCAAATGTACACTTCATGTATATGTATATGGGCCCATGACCTTCATACAATAAACATTTGAATTTGAATTTGAAATCTGTTTTATAAATACCACAGCAAATATGTTATGCCTGCACTAGTAGACCTCATTTCATCATATGCATAAAATGTTGTAGGGTTTTGACATATTTGTATTTGCATATTCATACAGAATTTGTTTTCTCCAATGCTGAAAATTCCCTTTGATATGGGCATGCATGCATACATACATACATACATACATACATACACATACATACATACATACACATACATACATACATACATACATACATACATACATACATACATACATACATACACATACATACATACATACATACATACATACATACATACATACATACATACATACATACATACATACACACATTGTTGAGTACTGTTGAAATGTGAGCTATTCACAATAATGAAACAGATGAATCATAACAGTGCATGTGTCACTGTGTTTGTTGTTTTTCGCGTACAATGTAATAAATGGTACATTCACAAGTTATGCAGAATGGTAGTGAGTGAGTTGCATAGTTACATCGGTAGCCATATCGTGACTATGAAAGTCGTAACTCTAAATTTGTAAATGTGTACATGAAATAAAACAAACTTATATACTTACCTGTCTTCGAAGGACAGTAAAATAACTAATCTATCACAAATGTACACTAAAACTGGCATGTAACCATAAACACTTTACCGGTACAGTATAAAATGAGCTATAGATTGCCAACACCTGAAGGTTGATCAACATACTAGGGACTACGGCACGAACAGTACTTTTGCTTCCTGCATTGACCCTAGCTGGATTCTGTAAACAGAAATTATCTTGCAAATGTAACAGTAAGTAAATATAGTCCCCCAATGGAACAGCACAAAGCTAATTATAAGTTTGCCATTTCATCTAAGCTGAAACCAACAGAAACCTAGCGGAAACCTACATTACCCAGTATCCAATAGGTTTCCGCAATAGCGGAAACAAAGTCATTTCTCTTTGAATGTTTCAGCGAACTGAAACTAAATGGAAACGCATAATGATAGTTTCAGTTGTAGAAACTTGACGGAAACCTAGATTTGTTAGTTTCAGTTTTGTAAACTATGCGGAAACTCGCATTGTCTGTTTCCGGATACTGAAACCTAGCGGAAACCTACATTACCCAGTATCCGTTAGGGTTTCCGCAAAAACGGAAACTAAGTTATTTTGCTGTGTGGTACCAATCACCGTCATGTTCACTCTGGGATTCAGGACTAATAGAGGCCTGAACAGCTGTGGATACTGCCGGTTCGATATGTTAAACTTTATGGTATTGTTGTATCAAGGGGGGGAATGGAGTCGGTGCAAAAGACTCGTTATTCTCGGACGTTTCTGTTATATATTTACGCACACCGATGCTTCCCCTGCTGGTGAATGAATATATAATCAGGGCCTAGATTTTCAAAAATATCTCAGTCCTATGAAATTCATTCTCAGTCTCAGCATATATTTATCGTGGGGGGTAATATCGAACGTTCACGCAAGATTGCGGCACTCTTTCCAATAGATATTGAATAAATCGCTTTGTTTGAAAATCTGATATTTTACACTTCGAGCTCGCAAAGAGGGCCTAAAAGTTTTCACGTCTCTATTAATTGCGATATTAGTCCCCATAACTATAGAGTCGATAGACTAAAATATATTTCCATTCAAATCTTTTTGAAAGATGTAAGAAACCTTTTAGTACCTTTTATATAATTTGGGAAGGAAAAGAGCAGATGGTGTCGGCAGGCTACTGCAGTGACCATGACCTTTACTCAGGGGGCGTCAATTCTAGTTCCTAATCTGGAAGGGGAGTGCTTTCCCCTTTGTATATGTACCGTGGCTCAGATAGAGATTTCCTGGGGCGCAGAGTTCCGCAGCTGTGCCCTCTGTACCATATATGTATCAATGCTATATTGTATAATATAACAAGGAATATATAGTATATCTGTGTTAAGTGCATGCCCAATTATTTATAAGCAAACGTATCTTTATTTTGTTCTGACCCGTTTTTAACGAAACACATAGACTATCGAATATTATTGAAATAAAAACATTTGATGATTGACTGTAGTCTTTTGAACAAATATTTACTATTAAAGACACTTCACTGCAGAGATCAACAGCACAGATTCTTTTCAACATAAAATTAATAAAACGATTTCGAATAACGCCTCTTATTTGCGTCCTTGAATGGAATCGCTTGTTAGCATAAATTGTTAATTGCAATAGTGTGGTAATAACTCTTTACTTATTAATTATAACTTTCTTGCGCTTGAAATAGGTCTTTGCATTAGCATAGATACAACATTGAAGTAGGATGCCATATGTCATTGCAATTTGTATCGAAAGAACACAAGTTCTACATATAGGATACATGTAGAATTGTGTGGAAAGTCAATAGAGCCGTATTAAGCACAGTGATCTGACGATGTGATCATGAATTCAGTGTTACTTCTCCACGTTATTGTCAGCGGTGGGAATTCCCTATGACGTTATTTGGGAAACATCCTGCTTTTCCTCCGCGTTTCCATCGCAAATTAGTTCTTTGTAGGTATCGAAGCTCTGTACAATCTGTGGCAGATCTTTGAAGGGCATTAAGATGTGGAATACATAAGAAAAGCAATATTTATGGAAGTCAACTTCTTTATTGTGAATAAGACGACTTTTCGGAATGTATGCTTGCTCACCTGATGCTCACCTGATGAAGAAGCAAGCATACACTCCGAAACGTCGTGTTATCTATTTACAATAAAGAAGTTGACATCCACAAATCTTGCTTTTTTAAATTTGTGGCAGGTTTACGACAACTTATGAAAAATATAACGTAAATTTTTAAGGTAATTAGTAACAAATGTCGTTTCCAAACCGAAACATGAGTCTCATTTACCTATTCAGACAATGACCTACTTTTCAGCCGATGCAAATTTTCTCGTGTGAAAGTGAGAAGAGACACCCAAACAGCTATAGTTACACTGAATTCTAATTTGTTGTTTCATAAGAAAATGGTATTTAAAAGTATATTTTAATTTTAATCTTTCATAACATCGTATTTCTATATTTTATGACGAGCTGTAGGCAGCATGACTTTAACTAAGACGCCACAGACCGCCCCTGTTTGATGAGGTCGTAAAATGATTCACAATGCATCTGGCTCACTGGTTACACATGTTTTGTGTTCTTTGTGCTTATTCACGTTAGTTTTATAACGCACAATGTGATTGACATACAAGTCCGTACCAAACCGCCAAACTTTTCTAGCGGCGGAGCCTCGTTTTGAGATTTCCACGATTTCCAGATTTCCGTCTGTCAGAGCACGCTGCACAACGTGTTTGTAAGGATTAGTAGGAGCGTAGTGTTGCAATATACAAGTGCTTAGATGTATCAAATACTAATGATTAATATTTATGTATCCAGTTGAATGAATTCGTCTCAAAACTCTGGACTGGTTGTTGTACTATGTTGCTCGATAGGACGAAACCCAGTCAGCAGGAAACGAGACTGTTGTGCAATCAATGTTTTGACTTGACATGGTCAAGTCAGAAGCTCATGTGATAATAGCCGGTGTGTTATTTACGGAAGCCTTTTAGGACCATTAGTGTTTTTTTCTTGAAATTTCAAGATACTTTGTTAACATTTCAAGTTGCTATCTTGAAATTTCAAGATACATATGAAGTTGAAATCTTATGACAATGATATAGAAATTTCAAGATAAGAATTTCAAGATCATTATCGTGTGATTTTTAAAAATTATATGTTGAAATTTTAAGTTACGATCTTGAAATTTCAAGGTAATAAGTTGATATTTTAAGACAAAAATGAAAACAAACCCGAATGGCCCTAAAAGGTTTCCGTAGTTATTAGATAAGATGTACCGAGAAGGTATTGTGACTCACCAGGTGAGGTGTTCCACCTCTCCGGGGAATGTTTCCTAGCTTATGACGAGTCAGTAATCAAGTCTCTGTGGATATATTTCTGCAAAGACAAAATGAAAAGAAATAGTTCAGCAGTTCATTGTCTTAATTGTTATTCCTGATTGCAGTTATCATACATAATAATAACACGTATTCAATATCGTTTTGCTCAGCTGTACTTTAGTTTCATCACGGTATGTCGATCTGATGAGGGATGAACCCACTATAGTAAAATTAGAAAGACCATATGGGGCTGCGAGAAATATAATCAAGGAAACCCACGATAATTACAGTTTTAGATATGCGGGCGATTGGGAAGAATTCCATATCAAGGAACAGAGTCAGGAGACTTCACTGTTGAGAATCATGATATTAACCTGAGACGAACAATGTTTATGGTCAATACGCTTAGAAATACTTATTCTATAACAATCCCTATCTCGTGTACATCTGCTTGACTTTGGTCTTTTCACATTAAGTGAGTGAGTGAGTTTAGGTTTACGCCGCACTCAGCAATATTCCAGCTATATGGCGGCGGCCTGTAAATAATGGAGTCTGGACCAAACAATCCAGTGACCAACAGCATGAACATCGACCTACGCAAGTGGGAACCGATGACATGTGTCAACCAAGTCAGCGAGCCTGACCACCCGATCCCGTTAGTCGCCTCTTAAGACAAGCATGGTTACTGAAGGTCAATTCTAACCCGGATCTTCACGGGTTCTTTGCATATTAAGCTAACACGCTGTGATATAACTGGAATAAACCGAAATCACTCACTCACTCTACGTGCTCTAAGACTGATATGGAGTTATTTATATAACGCAGTGATATGAACGTCATAAGCCTCGGTAAGTGAGTGAATTTAGTTTTACGCCGATTTTAACAATGTCTAGCACTAGCATGGCGGTTGACACCAGAATCGGGGTTCACACATTGTACCCTTGTGGGTAATCGAACCGAGGTCTTTGGCGTGACGAGCGAACGATTTAACCACCAGGCTACTGCACGGCCTCAAAGCCTCGATGAAAACAAGTTGGCAGAATGTAGAGAAAATCAGCAAAATGCGTCCTGATAAATAATAATCCAAGGCAATATCCGGTTACTCTAATGCGTATGTCGTGATGCCAATTTTGGTTCAATTCTAATATTACGTGACAAACATCCCTATTGGCTTTCTTACAGTATGGCCATTAGCGGTACAATACAATCGAAACTTACCCAACTGCTCTAGGTTGTCGGCCACTGTCGAAAACACGTCTGACCTGCACGGCTGCAGACAGAGCGAATGCAGATATGCGCGCAACACCTTGTCGACGCCACACCAGATATGCAAACTCATTTCTTCCTTGTCGAGATAACGGTACATCTTCAATCACGTGAGTGTCCGCTATATCCTTTCAACAAAGGTATGTTCCTCACCGCAGGGACACACACTCAACTTTCAAATACACTGGTGGTGGTGTAGTTGAAAACAGTCAGACAGTTGTGTCGAACTTACTTTTGTCTCGAAGTAAAAAATCGAGATATTTCTTATTTAGTCATTATTTGGGGGTTGTGGCGAAACTTGTTTAACTCGAAATATTTACGTCCATTCGACTTCGAGACAACGGTGATTGACTGAACATACACCGAACCCGGACCTATAAAAATGGGTTAACACAGACCATAATACCTAAATAATGTCGGTCTGTCCTTCCGTTTATAGGTGCGGTGGGGTAGCCTAGTGGTTAAAGCGTTCGCTCGTCACGCCGAAGACCCGGGCTCGATTCCCCACATGGGTACAATATGTGAAGCTCATTTCTGGTGTGCCCCGCCGTGATATTGCTGGAATATTGCTAAATGCGGCGTAAAACCCACCTCCCTCACTCACTCAGTCCTTCCGTTTATATTCTCTGTTGCTTGGTTGATGTGTCACTTGATTTGGTAATTGATTAATGTAGGGTACAAACTTGTCATTGGATACATTGCTGATTTGCATAAATCTTTTATAATATTTCTCCCAAAAGTGCATCATTATGATCACTGAGGTACGCAGCCGTTATCATAATGCCTGTCATAAGACTGTCTAGCACAGCAGTAACACACCAGGTGTAAATCAGGTCTCTACCTGATAACAGATTCACTATACGGTCTGCTTATAATTTCAGGGCGGTGGGTAGCTTGGTGATTAAAGTGTTCGTCACGCCAGACAGACTCCCCGGTTCGATTCCCAACATGGGCACAATGTATGAATCCTAATTCCTGTGTGATGTTATCTTGCTGACATATTGCTAAAAGTAGCTAAAACCATACTCACTCACTCACTCACTCACTCACAACTTATACTTTCTTTGTTACACGAGAGGTATACTAAGTTATATACACTGACACTGTTCTTGAAACTGTTCTTAACTTGAAAGTTAATTTAAAAATATTTAGGGAAGCTCAGAATTTGTCAATCAGCCCTCGTATGATAAGATGGGTTTTGAAGAGGAAGAACATTGTTACATCTATTGGTCAGGATGTCCTGACATCTGTGTTACTGTGTCAAATGTCCGTGTTACTGTGTCAAATGTCTGATAACAGGCATTGCGTCCTTAGAATTGTGATATCATAACTGTTATGCAGATCAAAGGGCATGCCGCGTAGTCTTTGTACATGTGTGTACCATGCAGATTGTCATATAATACCGCAGATACAGACTCAAGTACCACTTCAGATAGACGCTGGCATCTTTAGTACTGGTACATCAATCATACCATTTGACACATGTACAGATAAAGTCTGAATGAGTGGACACAAGTATGTATTTCTATTTTTTTATATTGTAATTATAATTGTACATAACTGCTTACGAAAATTGAACAATTTTAAAGTATACACGTCACATCCGAAATTCAGCTTTTAAATAAATTATGATATATATTCTTTTCTTTATTGTAATTGCAGTTACTTAAGAAAATCGAATCACACCAGGACACAATCTAAAAAACATTTCAGTTTTTTTTTATAAAAGAAATATCACCATCTGAATGGAAACCTACCCATATAAGTGCAGTGTGCAGAGTTCCAGGCAATAATTAGTCCCGAGTATTCACCAACACAAAAACATTAAAGCCTGAAAGGCAAAAAGCGGTGAATGCCGAAAATCAGAAATAACAGCAGGATTTCTCACTTTCGCTTCTTTTATCTAACTATTAAGCTTGGCAACATAATTGTTGCAGAGCATAGGCGCCCGACTCTGATATATTTATAAGCATGACCTATATATATAAGATATAAGAAAGCTGTGTCAGTAAATCGAAACAAAATGGAGGCCCGGCTCAGCTCGGCTCGGCTCGGTTTCGTTCTGACAAACGCTTCCATCGCTTTGACCGTTGAATAAACTGCACAATTTATACTCAGTTGACCTCTGTAAAGTACCTTGCGTATCACAAACCTGATGATTTTATTCCCATTTAAAGCTTTCAATAATTTTGTCGTCCATTCTCGGACGAAGTCAGGACATATGCCCGGAAATAAACAAATCTCAGGCGACAGACCCGCACCGAATAATAGAGCGAGTGTCTAATTGGATAATATAGTTGCACGTTAAAAGAGGTGGGAATAATAAAAGACGCTATCCAATCAGAGACTCGCTCTACTATTCGGTGCGGGTCTGTAGCCTGAGATTTCTTTACTGATTACTTACACACCTTTCTTATATCTTATATATGTAGGTCATGCATATAAATATATCAGAGTCGGGCGCCTATGTTTGTTGACGCTGGCAAGCTCGGTTGTAACGGCAGCTGAGCTGATTGGCTACTGTGAGAATGCGGAGCCAGCAAAGGGAGGTAATAAAATTATTGGGCCGAGCCATAGATCTTTCCACTTATCAGAAGGAAACACACGTGATCTAGATTACCAGACAGACAGAACATATCTTAGCGCCACATGCCCATGATATCTGCAATGTTACTGTTGACAAAAGTGAGTGAGTGAGTTCAGTTTTACGCCGCACTCAGTAATATTCCAGCTATATGGCGGCGGTCTGTAAATAATCGAGCCTAGACTAGACAATCCAATGATCAACAGCATGAGCATCGATCTGCCCAATTGGGAACCGATGACATGTGTCAACCAAGCCAGCGAACGTGACCACCCGATCCATAGGTTACGGAAGATCAATATTTTAACCCGGACCTTCACGGGTACTGTTGACAAAATGGAAAACGCGTGCTTTGTATAGAAGCAACGTATACAAAAGACTCACTATTTATAATGGTTTTCACAATATTATTGGAAGTAAACAAAAAATGTATGATGTTAAAGAATTGTTTTCTATTTTGTTTCACCTGACGCATAAAACGTCAAAGGGACAACAATATATCAATATGTTTACAAGACATGATTTGGACGAAATTACCTAGGGTACTCTTTTTTAACTAGTGGTGAGAAACATTCATGTCGCGCAACTTCATACCGCTTACATGGAGTTCGTCCTCTACATAGAACATATTATCATGAAGCACAATGATTAGCAATCCTTTTGGTATGGTTAATAATATTATTTCTTCCTATTTCTACTTCCAATCTAAACCTATTACATCTAAACCGACACTGGACATGTTTGTAATATACTGGCAGATGTGCCGAAATATCAACAGTTATCATTGTTTACAAATTCAACTTATAATTTGAAGACGTTTGTACTTCATAATGCTTATCTTGATTTTAAAGAAGTTTGTACTTCATAATGCCAATCTTGAGAAAACCAATCATACAGTCTTTGCTTTGACAAAGAAAAGAAAACATTTACATCTTCAATATACGGGGAGAGCCCAAACATTTACATCTTCAAGATATTGGGAGAACCCAAGCATTTACATCTTCAAGATATGGGGAGAGCCCGAACATTTACATATTCAAGATATGGGGGGAGCCCAAACAATTACATCTTCAAGATATGGGGAGAGCCCAAACATTTACATCTTCAAGATATGGGGAGAGCCCAAACATTTACATCTTCAAGATATGGGGAGAGCCCAAACATTTACATCTTCAATATATGGGGAGAGCCCAAACATTTACATCTTCAAGATATGGTGAGAGCCCAAACATTTACATCTTCAATATATGGGGAGAGCCCAAACATTTACATCTTCAAGATATGGTGAGAGCCCAAACATTTACATCTTCAATATATGGGGAGAGCCCAAACATTTACATCTTCAATATATGGGGAGAGCCCAAACATTTACATCTTCAATATATATTGGGAGAGCCCAAGCATTTACGTCTTCAATATGTGGGGAGAGCCCAAACATTTACATCTTCAAGATATGGGGAGAGCCCAGACATTTACATCTTCAAGATATGGGGAGAGCCCAAACATTTACATCTTCAATATATGGGGAGAGCCCAAACATTTACATCTTCAATATATGGGGAGAGCCCAAACATTTACATCTTCAAGATATGGGGAGAGCCCAAACATTTACATCTTCAATATATGGGGAGAGCCCAAACATTTACATCTTCAAGATATGGGGAGAGCCCAAACATTTACATCTTCAAGATATGGGGAGAGCCCAAACATTTACATCTTCAATATATGGGGAGAGCCCAAACATTTACATCTTCAAGATATGGGAGAGCCCAAACATTTACATCTTCAAGATATGGTGAGAGCCCAAACATTTACATCTTCAAGATATGGGGAGAGCCCAAACATTTACATCTTCAAGATATGGGGAGAGCCCAAACATTTACATCTTCAATATATGGGGAGAGCCCAAACATTTACATCTTGAAGATATGGGGAGAGCCCAGACATTTACATCTTCAAGATATGGGGAGAGCCCAAACAGTTACATCTTCAAGATATGGGGAGAGCCCAAACATTTACATCTTCAAGATATGGGGAGAGCCCAAACATTTACATCTTCAAGATATGGTGAGAGCCCAAACATTTACATCTTCAATATATGGGGAGAGCCCAAACATTTACATCTTCAAGATATGGGGAGAGCCCAAACATTTACATCTTCAAGATATCGGGAGAGCCTAAACATTTACATCTTCAAGATATGGGGAGAGCCCAAACATTTACATCTTCAAGATATGGGGGGAGCCCAAACATTTACATCTTCAAGATATGGGGAGAGCCCAAACATTTACATCTTCAAGATATGGGGAGAGCCCAAACATTTACATCTTCAATATATATTGGGAGAGCCCAAGCATTTACGTCTTCAATATGTGGGGAGAGCCCAAACATTTACATCTTCAAGATATGGGGAGAGCCCAAACATTTACATCTTCAAGATATGGGGAGAGCCCAAACATTTACATCTTCAATATATGGGGAGAGCCCAA